ATTCATAGGGTCGCTATGTGTCATCTACAACTCGATGGCACTTCACAACAACAGTTTAAAAGACAGCCAATTAGTATTCTAACCACTCTTAAATATAGACAAATAGGTATGTATGTATCTGTATTTATCTACTCAAGTCAGCTATCGTATACTATTGTTGTTGTGTACTGTTGAGTTGGAACTGACCCATAGCTGACCCTCCGGTGGGTTTTCAGAGGCAATTAATCCCTGGAGAGGAGACTGCCCATCCTTCTCTCTTAAAGCAGCAAGAGGCCTTGAATTGTGTGCCTTCAGAATTTCAGCACAGCTTCTTTCTACTAGGCCTCAGAATTCCCTATCTCATACTAAAAATTAAAATTGAAATGTATCAGTCTTATTACTGTTTAAGGAAACTTTAGCCGTAAGGAGTTGTACTGTCAATCCAAAGGCAAGTGGTTCCAGTCCACTGCTCTTCTGAGGGAGAAAGATGCAGAGTCTCCGTGTGTGCAACCTACAGCCTCTGAAAATCCACTGAAGGGTCAGCTATGAGTTAGTTCTAACTCAATGATACATAACATTGATATAGTTCTTAGGTGTCAATGAGATTAGTACAACTCATAGCAACCCTATGAACAGCAGATCTCAACCCTGTCCTATCCTGAGCCCTCTGCACACTTCCTGACACACTAGAGGCCATTGTGGCAGTCACTGTGTCAATCCACCTGGTTAAGGGTCTTTCTCTTCTCTGCCGACCTTCCACCCTTTCAAGAATTAAGCCCATTGACTAGGAGTAACCCCTTTTAGCAACATGCCTGAATTACACGATGTGAAGTCTCATCATCCTTGCCTCCAAAAAGCAGTCCAGAGGCACCTTCTCCAAGAAATATCTATTCTTTTGGTTGTCCATGGAATGTTCAGTGCTCTTCTCCAACACCACAACTCAAAGGTATCAATTTTTCTTCTGTCATCCCTATTTCTTATCCAGCTCTCAGATGCACAGTGTTTGGAAAAACCACAGCCTGAATCAGACACACTTTAGTCCTCAAACGGACATCATTACTCCTCAGTAATTTGAAGAGGCCCTTGATTGCAGACTTTCCCTGTGCACTGTGTCATCTTATTTCCTGACTGATGATACCAAGGGTGTGGGTCCAAGTAAGATGAAGTTGTTGACAGTTTCAATCTCTTCTCCATCCACTATGACGATGCCTATTGTTCCAGTGGTGATAATTTTTATTTTCTTGACATTGAGATGCAATTTATATCAAAGGCTGCATTCCTTGATCTTTTGCAACAAGTGCTTCAAGTCCTCCTCACTTTTGGCAAGCAAGGTTATATCATTGGCAAAACACAGGTTATTGATAGGTCTCCCTGATGCTGCATTCCTCTTCATAGAGTCCAGCTTCTCAAATAATTTGCTCAGCATGCAGACTGATTAGGTATGGATAGAGAACACAACCCTGACACACTCTCTTCTTAATTCCTAAGTAACACTATTACTGTTTAAGAATTTGTGGCCATATTATAGAGAGAATATATCACCGTGTTTTATTGTTATGTATGTTATATATTGCGAATAAATTCTGAAACTACCTATATTAATTTTCAAAGACTTCACACACATACACACACACTCTCACATGATGAGTAGCTTCAACTAAAGATGTTTATTGTCTCATATTTTTAGTAGCAGGGCACTCTAGTGGCATAGTCTATAAAGAGTAGCAATTGCTAAGTCAAAAGTGGCATATATTTGGCAGTTTGAATCTACCAGCTTCCGTGTGGGAAAAAGATGAACAACCTTTTGACACGAGATTTATAGCCTCAGAAAACCTGCTGGAGCCTCAACTCTGAGTTGATTCCAGGTTGATGGCAATTGAAGAGTCTGAGATTATGATTTGGTCTCAGCAAATGAGGGATAATCTTCTCAGCATCTCCCTCTTGCCTTCTGGTATCTTCAAGAGTTCCTTGACTTGCAGCTGCACTATATGACACATTTCATGTGATACTACATGACACATTTCATCTTTTTCTCTGTGTATATCTTCTCTTCTATAAGGATACCAGTCTGAGAATTAAAACTCATCCTCCTCTCATGTGGCCTCATATTAACCTAACTGATAATTGCTTGCATCCAAGGTCATACTTCCAGTTGTTCCACAGGAAAATGATAGACAATCATCTAACATATAGAGTTACAACCTTGGGAATGTGATAGAGGGTCATAACTAACCAGAATCAACTTTCTAGCAGTTTTGTAACTTGAAATTTACGAGGCAACTTGAGACTATAGTTGTTGTTGTGTTCCACTGAGTTGTAACCAACTCATAAATAACCCTCCAATGCGTTTTCAAAGACAGTAATCACCTGGGAGGAAATTATCCATAGGAAACAATATTAAATAAAAGCTTTAAAAACAATTACAATTCCTTGTATAAATATCTGAATATTTTCTGCAGAAAGTGATGACAGTTTTGTTTTAGAAATCCTTGTCTTTCATTTCTGTGACTTCCAGAAGCTATGCTCAGTCAGCATATTTCTTTCCTTTCATCAGAAAGTATTGAATACTGCCTGTAGGGCATGTGCAGCTTTTCACAAAGCAAAGTAGAAAAACAAATTAGAAAGCATTAAAAAAAAGTCAAAGCAAGCAAGTCAGATACACAGCAGCACAATCAGAGAAAGGGACAGCTGATGGCAAGAATGTTTTCATGTTTTCCCGGTTGTAAGGTTAACTGTCTAAGGCAAGCACATAGGAGAGGTAATTTGATTCTGCATTCTAAATGTTGATTTTAAAATAGACTAATAAATAAAATACCAGTGACAGGTTAGTGCCTAGGGAGAGGTTAATATAGTCACATTCATTCCGCTGTGTAAGAATTTTCTTTTTTATCCCATCATCTTACACAACTGTAGGTGATACAGCAGTCTGCTTCCTTAAAGATGTTGATTTTAGATGCTATCAAGTTAGCTCAACTCATACCCATTCTATATACAACAGAACAAAATCCAGCCAGATATTTCATCCTTATTACAAATTTCTACTATGCTTAAGCCCATTGTTCTAGCCACAGTGTCAATCTATGTTCCGGAGATGCTTCCTCTCTCTCTCCATCCCTTTATCTTTCCAAGCATGATTTTCTTTTCAGAAGAACAGCTTCTCTAACATGCCCAATGTATATGAGATTAACTCCCATCATTCTTGCTCTTAAGAAGCACTCTGGTTGCACTTCTTTCAAGTTTTGTTCTCTTGAAAGTCCATAGTATATTCAGTATTCATCACCAACATCCAAATTCAAAGGCATCATTTCATCTTAAATTTTCTTTCTTCATTGTCTAACTTTCATGTGCATATAAAACAAATGACAATATCATGACTTAGGGCAGGCACTCCTTATGTTCTTAGAAATCTATTTTGCTCTGTTAAATGGGTCACTAGGAGTCAGAATGAATTCAGAAGCAATGCATTTTTGGTGCATTATTTTTGGTGATTTTTTTTGCTTATTTTTTTTGTCAGTTTGTTGTTCTTATTGTTGTTTTACAGAACCATAGAATATTTTGCATTAGAGGCATATGATTTTATCCTGCAGAGTTGGAGAGGAAAAATTGAGCTTATTAACATTCAGTGATTTGTCACATATACTCCAAGTGCCATTTCAGAAATTGGAAAAATTTGTGATAACATGCATAAGCATATGCACTCCAAGTAAACAGCTCTGTGGTGTAATAATTCACTTGTCAGTTCATATCAGCATTGATTCTTTAATAAATGAGCATTTTTCTTGAGTTGATGAAAACTAGCACTAAAATCCCCACACTGTGTCTTCCTAAGAAGGAATGTAATATGAATTTGCACAACTAATTCCTCAAACGGTTTGAGATAAATAATATTCACAGCAGTCTGATGACAGAATCGCTCTCTTTATATGCATATGCATAAAAAGTTTAGATGAGTAGGTGATTCAACAGTTCAAACAATATATGTTCCCAAATTGTGTGATTTCTAAGACCAACTGTATTCTGCATATCTGTATTCTGATTCTAGGTAAAGATTACATGTGTCTGAAGCTTCCTTGAAACAAATTAATTATCCTATTCAGCTACTGATCTTCTGAATGGTTCCAGGGTCAACATAATTTTTTTTTCTTGCCACTTCTCTTAAATATACTACATATATTTATTTATTATTAAATATTTTAATATGATAAAGAGTAAGAGCAAAAAAGTATATCAATCCCACTTTTCAGCTAAATTGTAAAGTACATACACACATGCACACAAACACAGTCCATAATGCTCTCATACAAGACAGTTAAATTTGACATTTAACTCCTTTTGCAGCTCAAGACCCCAAAGATTACATAATGAACCTCAAACCTCTCAGATTCCCTTTAAGGAATGCTTGTTAGTCCCTTAATGCACTCACAATTTTGATCCCTTTCATTTTTCAATATATTTTAATATGAACACAGATAATTGCTTGATAAGATATTGGGTATGATTATAGTTTCTTTGGACAACATGACAGTGGAAAAGCGTGCTGAGAGATGAAAAGCAGGATTCTTTGTTCCTTCCAGATCCAGAATAGAGAAAGTTGCCAGGAAGGACCACACAGTGGGTTTCACAGGATTACAGCAAGGTAAATTTGTAGGAGGTGTTTCATGTATGACAAGGGAGTAGGATTAAACAGATTTCATGGGATTCCTCAGGATCCAGTACTTTGATAAATTCCCCAAGTCCAAAGAAGATGACATTTTTGTTTGTGTAAGTTGTCTACAAGCCTGTGGTAGTTGTGTGTGTCTACATATTGGAGCCTGAGGCAAATGGTAGTTGGGGTGTAGGCATCACAGTACCTGTGAAGGAGAGTAAATAGAGATTAATATAGGTAATCTTACTTCTAGGACAAGATGACACTTGTGAAATAAATTATATAGCTGATTTTTCTGCTTTTCTCTTAAGTTTTTAATAAATTGAATTAAAATATGTGCATGGAAAATTAACAGTGATTCTGTTCCTCTTTTCTACAGAAGAGAATGCTTAAATTTCATCAAATGAAACACATATTTGAAATATTGGATAAAATGAGATGCTTGAGAAAACGTTCTGCAGTGTCATTCTTGGGAGTTCTTGTTATTTTCCTTCTTTTTATGAATCTATACATTGAAGATAGCTATGTTCTGGTAAGTTTCTGGAGGTAATTATTTTTGTTCAAAATAGAGCTTAGACCTAGTCCAGGTGAAGATTTATTTGAATCCCAGACTTAATGTCCTCAGCATTAATAACAATGAGTGACTAGAATACAAAATTTAGCGACAGGATAGAAGTACTGGTAGTTGGAAAACATGCACTTGGTGACAGAAATTAGACTGGAGATAGGATGGTAGTATTTTGTACAATCAATGATTTATTGTTGCAAACAACAATCGCACACATGGGCTTCACCTGACAGCCTACACAGAGATCAGATTTATTTCGTATGTGGAAAGAATCAAAGGAGAAGCTCAATATCAGCTGTTAAATCTAGGCTAGATGCTGATTGTGGAACAGAACATCCACTACTCATATGCAAGTTCAAACTGAAGCTAAAGAAATGGAAATGAAATCCACAAAATAAAATGAATAAAAACAACCAAAATTTTACCTTGTGTCTATCCCATATGGATTTACTAAGCCATCTCAGGAAGAGGTTTGAGACCTTGAACAGTAATGACAGTAGACCAGATGAGTTGAGGTAGACTATCAAGAATATTATCTATGAAAAATATGAAACATCTTTACAAAAACAAAGGAAGAAGAGAAGACTGAGGTGGATTTCAGAAGAGACTCTGAATACTGTACTAGAGCACCAAGAAGGCAAAGTAAAAAGAAGAAAATGAGGACATTAAGAAGCGGACCAGAAAACTTCAAAGGGCAGCTTGGGAAGACAAAGAAAAATATTATAATGAAATGTAAAAAAAAGCTGGATGTCACTCTGGAGACTAAGGTGTGACTGATTCAGGCCATGGTCTTTTCAATTACTTGCTATGTACTAGAGAGCTGGACAATGACTAAGGATGGTAGAAGAAGAATCAATGACTTTGGGTTGTGGTACCAGAGAAGAGTAGTGAACATAACACGGACTGCTAAGAGAACAAACAGGTCTATCCTAGAGACAATGAAACCAAGTTATTCCCTGGAGGAAAGAATCATGAAGACCAGGAGGGACAAGTCCTTAGGGAGAAACATGCTTGGAAGGTAGAGGAACAGCACATTTTGGGCGGACCCTGGATGGGATAGATTGACACAGTGACTGGGGTAATGGAGGTAAGTGTGTGTAGGCCACAGTGAGACTGGCTCAGGATAGGACAGGGCTTAAAGCTATTGTGCATAGGGTTGTTAAGAGTTGCAAGCAACTCCAGGACACATAACAACAATAAAAATGTAGCCTTAGATGTAGTGAATAAAAGTAGAATGTAGAGTCCTCAAGTGACAGAAATTGTAAAAACAAGCAGGTGGTAAATATGAGTTAATTTTATGTCAAATATTAATTTACAGAAAGGAATTTAGTCTAACTTTAACAACTTACTTTTTTAAAGACACCTCTGTTTTTGTGTTCTAAAAAAATTCATGGCGGATGAGAAAAAAATATTCGTGTTTCTTGATTTTTTCCTATCAGAACGCAGCCAAAGTAATTTGAGGGGGGGAAATCAGCTTTATTAGGTTGTTATTTGTGTTCCTAGATGTCAGAAATCCAAAACGTTGACATTCACAGTGAACTTCAAATACTTTCTACCATTCAAATCACTGTACCAAAAAGAACTGGTCAGTGTTCAACCATTTTGTTGAAAAAGCATATGTTCAAGAACCAATAGTATTGAAGAAAGAAGTCATTAATGAATACCGACAGAATACAAATTAAGATGTTTCAACAAATGTGTGAACACCAAGAAAATTGGAAGACAATTTTAAAAAGAGATTCATATTTGTGTCTATTCTACAGAAAGGTGATCGAACAGAATTCAGAAATTATAAGATACATCATTAGTATCCCATGCTGGAGCAGTATATCAACAGAGAATTGTTACTAGTTCCAAATGGATGTAAAATAAGCTATTGTATAAGGAGGATTATGGCTGATATAAAATCTTAGCTGAAAGTAGGGAATGCCAGAAGCTGTTTACTTATGTTTTATTTACTATGTAAAGGTATTCAAATATGTCCATGTCAAATTGTGGATAAGATTAGGAAGAATTGAAATTCCCAGAAAGTTAATTGTTCTCATGGGAAACCTATGCATATACAAAGAAAAATTGTTCAAACTTTGCATATACAAAGAAAAATTGTTCAAAGAGTTTACTGCACAGTTTCAAAACAGGAAAGCTGTGAGAATTCTATTCTTTCATTATACCTGTTCAATATATATGCTTAGTAAATAATTCCAGAAATAAGACCATGTGAAGAAGTATCTGACATCTGGACTGAAGTCAGACTCTTCAATAACCTGTGATATGAAGATTACACAATCTTGTCTGCAGAAAATGAAGATGACTTGAAGCAATTACTGATGATTACTAAAGATTACTCCTTGGCATGAATTTTACTTCCACAAACACAAACCTCTCATGACTGTACCAATGGCAACATCATAATAAGTGAAGAAAAGACTGGAGTTCACTTAATTTTAATAGCTGGAGTTACTTAATTTTACTTGGGCCCAAAATCAACACTCAAGGAAGTAGTAGTCAAGTAATTAAATGACATATTGCAGTAGGGAACTCTGGTGGCCTACTGACAAGAAGTGGTACTTCCATTCTGAGGGCAAGTGGTGCTCCATGAAGAAGGATAGAAAATTTCTTACAGTGAAATCAACCTATTCCTGAAAAGCCTGCTGGAAGGTCAGCTGTGAGTCTGTTTCTACTTGAACAGCACACAATATTGCATTAAACAAACCTGTGGTAAAGAATTTCTTTAAAGTGCTAAGTAGCAAGGGTGTACTTGGACCAGTCATGTCATTTTCAAATGTTTTACATGTATAGGCAATTGAACAGTGAACGAAGAAGACAAAAGAAATGATGTCTTTTAATTGTAATGTTAGTGAAGATTATTACCCATGCAAAAATGGGCTGTCAAAACTAACAAATAAATAGGTCTTTGAAAAATTAAAATCTGAGAGCTTTTTTAGAAGCAAATATGGTGAGACTTCATATACTAGGCCTGTTATCAGGACAAACCATTCTTGGGGAAGGACATCATACTTGGACAAGGTATAAGCCAAGGCTAAAAAGCAGCCTCTTCGATGAAATGAACTGACAGAGGTCAGTGGCTCTTGTAATGAAATTCAGCACAGCTCACGTTATGAGGATGAAACAAGATCAAACACTGTCCCGTCCTGTTGTAGGTAGTATCACTGAGTTGACATATCCTAACAACACTGTTCTGGCATCTTGCCAATTTCTTCTTTTATGAAATTTAATAAAACCTTTAGCAACAGAAAATCTGACAAAAACCACACAAAAAAATTCCAAGTATTCCATTTTCTTTGATTAGTTGAGCATTCTTTAGTCACTTACTATTTTCCAGATAATATTATACAAACTGGGAAGTACTGCTGTCTTTTTGGATAAAGAATCGCACTGCCAACTCAAAGCAGGCAATTCAAATTCAAAAGCTGCTCTGAGGAAGAAAGGTGAACAATCTGCTTCTATGTGATTCACAGCCTCAGAAAACCTACTGGAGGATCAGCTATGAGTCAGTTCCAACTCAATGACAATCAGTTGAGTTGATGAGACGATAGATAGATAGATAGATAGATAGATAGATAGATAGATAGATAGATAGATAGATATAGACAAACAGATGATAGATCAGTGAAAACTTTATGATATTAGTTGATACAGCTATTCTTAAGAGTATCCTGGACAAATTCTTAAGAACCTAGCTCTCTTCTTTTGTTGTTGTTGTATATCACTGAGTTGGAACCAACCCATAGCTGACCCTCTTATGGGATTTCAGAGGCAGTAATTAATCACATGGGAGGAGACTGCCCATTCTTCTCCCATGGAGCAGCTTGTGGCCTCGAACAGCATGCCATTGGGATTGCAGCACATCTTCTTGCCACTGTTGTTGATTGATGTCAAGTCGAGAAAGACTCATAGGGACCCTATGAACAAAAGGCCTGAAGCCTTTCTATAACTATCAGCATTTATCAAAGTTCATAGAGTTTCCAGAGGCATGTTGTTTAGGTAGTGGATACCACTCCCACTTCCACTAGGCCACCAGTATTCTTTTAAGGTTTTCAAAGACCAAATTTTTAATCTTAGCCTATTTTTAGGCCATTTTAGTTTATCCACAGATCCTGACTTCAGAAATTCTTGATACAGTCAATTCACAATGCCTGAAATCATGATAGATTGGCAGAACTCTTGTTATTGTAGTTGAAAGATGCTATCATGTCAACTACAACTCAGCACACACTATGAACGATAAATGTGAAGTTTGCCCTATTTTGCACATCCTCACCATTTCTGACATGCTCAAGTAATTGTTACAGTCACTGTTATCAATCCATATTGTTGAGGGTCTTTCTCTCTTCACTGAGCCTCCACCTTTGTCAGCATGGTATCTTTTTCCCAAGGACTTGTCCCTCCTGAAAACACATCCAAATATGTGAAATAAAATCTCACTATCCTTTCCACTAAGGAGTACTCTGGTGACATTTTCTCGCAGACAGACATATTTGTACATTTGGAAGTCCATGGAATATTTAATACTCTTCTCCTACACAACAATAAAAAAGGTATCATTTTTTTTCTACTGTTATCTTTATTTATAGTCCAACCCTCAGGTGCTAGGAATATTTTCAGTTGAAAATATCATTGCTTGAATCAGCCAGGTCCTTGATGGCAAAGTTTCCCCAATACATCATTTGCTTTCTTGATTGCTATTAACATGAAAGTTGATTGTGAATCTAAGTAAAATGGAATTACTGACAATATCAACCTTTTCTCCACCTATCATGATGTTGCTTATTGGTTCAGTGGTGAGAATTTTATTTTGTTGATATTGCCTTGTAATCCATATTGAAGCCTGTAGAATTTTATATTCTTTAGCAAATGTTTCTCTTCACTTCCAGTAAACAAGATTAGGTAATATGCAACATGCAAATTGTAGTTCAGTCTTACTTCAATCCTGAGGCCACATT